TTACCCTCATCTTTGTTTAAAAGTGCTTTTCAGTCCTTCGGTCCCAGCGTGCTCTCTATAATTAATGCTTCTCTGGTCTCTGGTCAGGTCCCTGCTTACTTTAAGAACGCTGTAATCCACCCGCTTCTTAAAAAACCGAGTCTCGACCCCTCTCTCCATAGCAGCTTCAGACCCATCTCTAAACTTCCGTTCATCTCCAAGATCTTGGAAAAGGTTGTGGCTAAACAACTCACAGCTGCTCTTGATGAACATAACATCTATGATAGCTTCCAGTCAGGTTTTCGTAGAGCTCATTCTACTGAAACAGCTCTTCTTAGGGTCTCTAATGACCTTCTGACTCACAGTGATGCAGGGTTCTGGTTCTGGTCCTGCTGGACCTGACTGCAGCCTTTGACACTGTTGACCATCACCTGCTACTGGAGAGGCTGAGAGACTGGGTAGGCCTATCAGGATCTGCTCTGGAGTGGTTCTCCTCTTATCTCTCTGAGCGCTCCTTTTCTGTGTCCGTCTCCAAGTTTAGGTCCTCCACCACCTCCCTTACCCATGGTGTCCCACAAGGTTCTGTGCTGGGGCCTCTGCTCTTCCTCCTCTATCTGCTTCCTCTTCAGCACATCCTGAGCTCCTTCAAAGGAATCTCCTACCATCTTTATGCAGATGACATCCAACTGTACATCTCCTTTAAGCCCCATGAGATGTCTAAGCTGCAGCTGTTACACACCTGCTTAGACTCTATCAAAACCTGGATGGTGGGAGCTTTCTTCAGCTGAATGAAGATCAGACTGAGATCCTCATCTGTGTCCCAGACAAGCTGGTTCCCAAAGTCAGAGACTCTCTTGGTCAGCTTGCTTCTCACACCAAACCCTCTGTCAGGAATCTTGGCGTGACCTTTGACCCAGCTCTCACCCTGGATTCTCATGAGGTCCAGTGACCAAAGCCTACTGGTTGTGCAGCACCAAGCTAAAGGTCAAAGGTGACAGGTCATCTGCTGCTGTGGCCCCCAGACTCTGGACCTCTCTCCCCCTGAGCCTGAGATCAGTGGACTCAGAGGTCTCCTTTAAACTCACCTGTTCAGGCTTTGGTGGGACCTTCATCACCTCCCTCTCCTTGTTCTGCTCTTTCCCGGGATCCACTGACTTCCCTCTTTCCTATTGTGTTTTTTTCCCTTTCCTCACATTTTTAATCACAGTTTTTACTTTTCCCATCTTTTTGATATTTCTTAATCATTTTTATTTTTCGTTGTTGTGATTTTTAGGGACAGCAGCAGCTCAGGAGGTGGAGCGGGGTGTCCAGTAACCGTAAGGTTGCAGGTTCGATCCTGGTTCCAACCACAGAATGCTGCTGTTGTGTCCTTGGGCAAGACACTTAACCCGCCTTGCCTGCTGGTGGTGTTCGGAGGGACCGGTGGTGCCAGCGCTCGGCAGCCTGGCCTCTGTCGGTGCGCCCCCGGGCAGCTGTGGCTACATCGTAGCTCATCACCACAAGCGTGTGAATGACTAAGAAGGCGCTATACAAACACAGGCTATTTACCGTTTTTGTCTTGAGAGGTGCTGTATAAAAGTTTGTTTCTCCTTCTCTTGATTCCTGGACAACCTGCTCCACTTCCTGAGCCAGCGCTGCTCCTGTGTTGGTGGTAGATAACTTTTGAGCAGCCTCTGTTCAGAGAAGACAGATGGGCTAACGGCTAGGCAGTGAAGACCAACGATATATACATATATTTTTTTAAAATCTCCTCCCAGTGGCTCGTCGTGGTTTTGAAAACACCGCAGGTGAACTTGCTGCTGGACTCGGTTGCGTTTAGCTGCCAGGGGTTACGGTCGTGCAGAACTCCAGACGTGACTGCGATGCTGAAGGCAGTTCATACTCAGACTAGCCGTTACCACGTCAGTCCTGTTCGGTCTGTTTCTCTGAACAGAGGCTGTTCGGGAAGCTTTCTACATCAGCAGCGTAAACCCCTCTGGGTGCTCTGGTACCAGGCCCGTCATAAGTAAACCTGCTGGATCAGATCCACTTCAGCAGAATATAGGTCTGTTCCCCTCTCTAATGGTTCCGTGTGTGTGTTCCGTTGGTTCAGAACCGTCCGCCGTGGTCGGCCTGGGGGTGACCTTCAGAACCTGCATCAGCCTGGGCCTTTCCTGGCAGGCCGGACCCGGCAGGACGCAGCGTTTCCAGCTGCAGCTGAGGGACGCGTCGGGTAGGGATCAGCTGTTCGGAGAATAAAAACAGATTCTGAGAACTTTCCACCCGGAGTCATGCGACTCGTATCGTCTTTGTCTCACAGGTCCGGTGAGGAACGAGACGCTAGACAGCACGACAACGCAGCACACGCTCGTCGGCCTGACACCAGGGCGGCGATACAGCATCACCGTGGTAACAGAGGCTGGCCAGCTGCAGAACGGAAGGATGATAGAGGCTCAGACAGGTAGAGAGAAGGGGTTCTCACAGGTGAAATGATTCCCCTGATGACCTTTAACCTCATATGGTGATGAAAAAGCCTTGAAAGTTCCGGGTAAATTCCCAGGAAAAGGATATCTGGAATAACGCAGAAAATGCTCTGACTGTTTCCTCTCTAGCGCCCTCTGCTGTTTCCAACATCACTGCAAGCAGCAGAAGCAGCAGCAGCCTCACGTTGTCATGGCAACAGCCTGAAGGGGACGTGGACGCACTCCTTGTCACCTTCTCCTCCAACCAAACCATCATCCAGGAGACAACTCTCCCACGGGATGCTGTCAGCTTCTCCGCCCACCAGCTGACACCCGGCTCAGCCTATCAGGTCGTCGTGACGTCCAGGAGTGGCGGACTGACAAACCAATCAGAAGTCACTGTCAGGACAGGTGAGACACCAAAACAAATCTAAGCTTTCTGTCTTGTTTCTCTCTCATCTCATCATCTTCTCGTCTCCAGCTCCGACTCCGGCGTCTCTCCTTTCCTTGTCTCCTTCCTCCTTCGGCGACCTCCTTCTGACTTGGTCGCCCCCTGCTGGTCGATGGGAGAAGTACAGGCTGTTCCTGTTCGATGGCGCCCAGCAGATAGTCAGTACCGTTTTAGGCCGCGATGCCCTAAACTTCAGCTTTCCTGGGACGAGTCTAACACCTGGAAAACAGTACCGAGCGGTGGTGAGAGTGGAAAGTGGAGGACTGGTGGCTGAAAGCAGCTGTGATGGATCAACAGGTCTGAAAATAAGTACAGGACTATTCCTCAGCTGGAACATGTTTAAGTTAGGAAAACTAAGTTTTAAATTTAAAAATGGAAGCTGGACGTTTCTGCTCGTCTAAAACCTGCTGGACGAGAATTCCAGTTGCTTGTTCAGATGATCAGTACAACCAACGGTCCCCTGGCTGAATTAAACCTGATCCGTCTCTGCAGCTCCTGCTCCGGTGCTCGATCTCCACATCCGACACTCGGATGAGACGTCACTCAGCGCCATGTGGAGCCACGCCCATTCTGGGTCACGTGACAGCTACTTTCTCTCCATTCACAGCGGTAACGTCTGCGCTTCACTTTAAATACTAAAACAAAACATGTAGAGGTCATTGATCTCATGATCCCTGTCGTCTCCTAGGTAACGAAACAGTGGACACAAGAGAGGTGGGGCCAAACATGAGGGAGTGTACATTCAATGTGCTCACACCTGGGAGGAGGTACAACATCACCGTGACAACCAGGAGTGGGAAGCTGAACACCTCTGTGTCTGTGGAGGGGAGGACAGGTGGGTCACCTAAGGGAGGACACGTGGGTCACCTGAGGGGAGTACAGGTGGTTTACCTGAGTGGGAGGTCAGGTGGGTCACCTGAGGGAGGACAGGAGAATCACCTGAGGGGGAGGACACCTGGGTCACTTGAAGGAGGACAGGGCTCTGTACTTGAGCCGTTGCTTTTCTCTGTTCCTTCTTCCTTTGAGTGTTATGGCGGTCGGAGGGACCGGTGGTGCCGGTGTACGGCAGCCTCGCCTCTGCCAGCGTGCCCAAGAGCAGCTGTGGCTACATTGTAGCTCATCACCACCAGTGTGTAAATGTGTTTGTGAATGGGTGAATGACTGACTGTGTTGTGAAGCACCTTGGGGCAGGGCTGGACTGGGACAAAAATTCAGCCCGGGCATTTTGATTGGAGACCGGCCCATCACCTGTTTTTTTTGGAAAAGACATTAAGCCTTACGCTGTTTCTGACACACACCAACGTACACTTTCTTATTGGTAGTATTTATGTATCAATCTAATAAACGTAAACCTACACCATCCTTCCTATCCTGGTATTCTAAAAAGTAGGGTTGGGGGTAACTGATTATTTTTAAAACGATTATTCTGATGATTATTTTATCGAATAGTCGATTATTCTAATGACTATTTAGATGATTAATCTAGCGATTACTTTTCTATTGCACAATTACTAAAAACCAAAAAATTCTCAAATAAATTCCTCCAAAAAATTGATAAGTTGTTACTGTAAGAGAATAAACACTACAGGCCTTCCATTTTGTATAACACTGCTTTTATTGTGTTGCGGTTGTTTATGTTCTGGTGACGTGTAGAACTTGGGAGTGCAGGCTGCTGCCTGAGAGGTGGTTGGAGACGGAGTGTCTCCATGCTGCTTTGTTTTGTTCACTTATGTGCATGAGGCAAGTGGTGTTACGACCCTTCCTGGGGAGTCACGTGTTTCTCCTATTTTAACTGTAAATCCTTCTAGCTGTTATATTTATAACAAGAAACAGATATTCGGACGGAATATTTTCATGTTTATTCGAATATGATTGTGGAACACACCCAGCATCATAATAAATGAAGTAATATTTATGTCAATTTAACCCTTTACACGTGACCAGGACTCTGTAATCAATTTTTGGCAAGGGAAATGATCATTTGTTGCCATTTTTGAGGTGGCTTGGGGGGTTGAATTTTCAAAAATAAAGTTTTATGTTTTTGAATCCTTCCTGGTCTATAAAATGTTGTCTGGGACTTTCCAGTTCCGATGGCGTTGCGGATGCTCCACCTGAGCACGCTGGGCGCTGACGGCCTGCAGGCTTCGTGGGAAAAGCCACCAGGAGACGTGGACGAGTACACGCTGATGCTGCTGCAGGACAGGTCGGACAAAACTTTCAAAAGGTTTTCTGGTTCTGATCCAAAGCCCATTTTCATTAGAGCAGCAGAAAGCTCACAGGTGGCATCTAGATATTAGAGCGAGTTTGTAGGTCGGCCCGGTTTTGGTTCTGGAGAAACAAACTGGGTCTGAGCAGCTAAGACCTTCTGGTTGAGAGCACTCCTGCAGAAGATCATTGTTTCTTCTTCTATGGTTTTTATGGAAACAAATAAAACCGATGGTGGTTCATAAAAATCTGTTTTGGTTTAATAACAGGTACAGGTGAGTCTGAAGAGCGAAGGTTGTAGAACCTTACTTGGCTCTTGTTCTCCACAGCTCTGTTGTCCAGAACCACCGTGTTCCTGCAGGTTCCTCCTCTCTGGTTCTGGCCGGTTTGACCCCCGGTGCCCTCTACAGGCTGCAGGCCACCACCGTCAGTGGAGAGCTGTGGTCCAAGCCCATTGGTCTGGAGGCCCGCACAGGTGAAACGTCTGACCTTTGACCTCTGACTCCAAACGTTCTAACACTAATTCAGCAGGGGACTTTCCAGCTGTTTACGGGAGACAAACAGGTTACATAAGAGTCTAATTGGATCTTATCGTGCCAATATTCCCAGGCAGGACTTTCCCATCCACACAATAAACAGGAAACCTCTCAAAGCGTTCCCAACAAAGGGGGTTGGGGGAACCGTTCCTCGGGAATGATTCTTCTGTACAGAAACTAAACCGGCACCTTGCTGACCTGATGGCTTGGTTCAGGTTAGAAATTTAGTCTGAAGTAAAGATGAGATCTGATTCTGGACCGGGGTCAAAGTTCAGCTGAAAACATCAAACTTTCATCAGAACGTCTGAGGTCCAACCCAGAGGTCCTGTCCACTTGTCCTCTCACACGTCTGCTGAAGACAGGCTGGAGGTTCTGGGGTTGAGGCGTTCAGCCGTGACCTTCAGGGTTCTGAAAACAAGGAACGAGATAACATCAGGAACCTTAAAAACAATGTCTGACGGGAAAAACGCTCCGAATGTTCCAGACGGCGAGAGACGCTCCCAAGACTCAAAGATTTCCTGCACACACACACACACGCACGCACGCACGCACACACACACACACGCACGCACGCACGCACGCACGCACGCACGCACACACACACACGCACGCACGCACGCACACACACACACACGCACGTACGCACATGCACGCGTACACACACACACTCACACACACAGTCGCATGCACATACACATGCACACGCATACACACACGCACACACACATGCACATGTACATGTGCACGCGCACACACACACACACACACACACTCGCACACACACGCATGCACACACACACACACACACACACTCACACACACACTCGCACACACACACACGGTTGCACACGCACTTGCATGCGCGCACACACACACACACATGCTCATGTGCACGCGCACACACACACACACACACTCGCATGCACACACACACACGCACATGCACATGTGCACGTGCACACACACACACGCACGCACATGCACGCGTACACACACACACACACACACACACATCCTTCCTTTCTCCCACTAACAGATCAAAAATCAGGAATTGTAACATTCCAGGTTCACTGTTTCTGTTTCTTCTGCTCTCCTCAGTCCCAGCCGCCGTTTCCGAGGTAACGGTCTCTAACGGTGGCAGGTCTGATGCTCTGCATGTGTCATGGCGTTCTGCCGAGGGTGTGGTGGATAGCTACCTGGTCCGTCTGCAGGATGGGAGACGCACCGTCCACACGCTGGCGGTGTCCAGCAGCTCTCCCCCTGAGTGCTCCTTCAGCTCGCTGGTGGCAGGACGCCTTTACTCGGTCGTCATAGTAACGAGAAGTGGCGGGCTGGAAAACACAACGGTGGTCCAGGCCCGAACACGTAAGAAGTTCCTGGATTGGTTTGGATCTGTTTTGTTGGTGATTCTTCCTGAAAGACCAACTTCCTGTTCTTGGTCTGTTGTTGTTTTAGAACCTGCAACCGTTCAGAACCCAACAGCTGTTCACGCCGCGCGAGACGACTTCCTCAAGGTGAGTCGGTTCATTTAGAAGTCAGCACCAGCCGGAGTCGAGGAGCGTGGATCACCCAGGAGACGTTCACTAGATGTTTAGTTCCCGTGCTCGCTGGTCTCCTTCAGGTGGATCAGACGTGAACGTAAACGACCTGCTTATGTGCAGCAGCGGTCAGAGGACTGCAGGTGCTTCACCCCACAGCCAGCAGGGTAAGGCTCTTGCCCAAGGACACAACAGCAGAATTCTGTGGAGGAAGCCGGGATCGGTCCTACAACCCGCTCTACCTCCTGAGCTGCTGCCAGGACATCCGGGTCAGGGTTGGTGTGGTCGACTCGGAGCTGAAAAAAATCTATTAATTTGTCTTCTTCAGACAGAAGTAAACAGGAAACTCTGAGTGGCTCGTCAAAATTAAAAGGAGGGTTGTCGGTTCAATCCCGCACTCCCAAAGTGCTTCTTTTGTGTCCGTGGGCAGGGCACTTCACCCACCTCACCTGCTGGTGGTGGCCAGTGTGCCCCAGTGAATGGGTGGGTGACTGACGGTGTTGCGAAGTGCCTTGGGGGGTTGAAGAACCCCAGAAGGCCACGTTTTTAAATCAGACCTTCAGAATAAAGTTCCCTGGTTAGCAGACGCCAGAGCAGCTGAGCGTCGCTCTCCAGCTGTGTGCAGATGTTTGTGTGAGTCTTTGTGGTGTCTGGTGTTCAGGTCTACTGGCGTCACGCTGCTGGAGATCTGGACCGCTACGTGGTTCTGATCCGCTACAACCACACCGTCCTGCAGAACAAGAGCGTCTCAGCCGGACACAACGAGTGCGCCTTCTCGTCTCTGACACCGGGACGGCTCTACGCCGTCACCGTGGAAACCTGGAGCGGCGGTGATGTCAGCAGCGTCTCCACTGCCGGTCGAACCCGTGAGTCAGGAATCGGCTAGACAGAAGCATGGTGTGTGTGTTTTCTTACAGGGTGTGTGTTCTCAGTTCCTGCAGCTGTCGGCAACCTGTTGCTAAGCAACGCTGGAACAGCTGATCTAAATGTCACCTGGAGCCCCGCCCCCGGGGACCTGGACCACTACGAAGTACGAGTCGGCTGAAACGTTTCACGCTCTCGTTGTTTTTGCCGTTCAGACTGAAGCTCTGTTGGGTTTTTGGTTCTGAACCTAACTGGACCACCTGACCCTCCAGGTGACGCTGCTCTTCAACGACACCCGGGTCTTCCCCCCCGTCGTGGTGGGCAGCAACGTGAGACACCACCTGCTGACCTCCCTGACCCCTGGACGCCTCTACAAGGTCGTGGTGTCCACGTTCAGCGGGTCATACCAGACGGCCCAGTTCACCGAGGGACGGACCGGTAAGTCTCCGTCCTCTCATCCAAACTGTTCCGAGTCCAGGTCCTAAGTCCCACTCCGGTCTCCTCTTCAGTTCCCAGTGCTGTTGGAAACCTGCGCCTGGTTCCCCAACCTGGACTGACCGACTCTGTTGGTGGACTGTCGGTGTCCTGGACTCCTGGAGTTGGTGACCTGGACCTGTACATCGTGTCCCTGTCCACCATGGTGAGACACCTTTAGTCCATTATTTTAACACCTAAGGGACCTGAAAGTTGGTCTAAACTCACCTCGTCTCTTTCAGGACGGAGTTGACGTGGACACTCGTCCCGTACCCAAACACGTGTCCTCCCTAGACTTCTTAGATTTGATTCCTGGCCACGCCTACACGGTCACCATCCAATCACTGAGCGGGACACTGACCAATAGCAACACGGCGGCAGGCCGGACCGGTGAGACTGTGTCCTGATTGGATGGCGCTCCTGGTGATGCAGGAGGAGTTTGTAATCAGCCGTTTCTCGCTGCAGCTCCAGCCTCGGTCACGGCGCTGCAGGCCGACAACGGACGCACCACCCACAGCCTCTCCGTCAGCTGGGAGCGGCCACTGGGTGTCTATGATGGCTACCGCCTGCAGCTGCTGGACGGAGCCGGTGCTGTTCTGGTGAACCGGTCCGTCTCAGCAGAGAGTCGGAGCGAGCGTCTGGAGGGCCTGACCTCTGGGAGGTGGTACCGGGTGAAGGTGGTGACGCTGAGCGGCGGAGTGCCGTCGCTGTTCGCCACCACAGCAGAAGGACAAACTCGTAAGTTGTGATTCCAGGTTGGACTTGGACCTTCAAGGTGTAGCCTCCGGAAACGGTCTGTTGTTCCATCTACAGGTTGACCTCTTCAGTACCGGGTCATATCTGGACCTGAGTCTTAACTGAGGCTTTAATCTGCAAGAAAGATGCTGTGCTTGCCCAAGGCCCCTCGCTAGCTCCCTCTTATCTAAGACTGCTTAGCTTCACAGAACAGGACGGATGAACTTTCATAATTAAATCATGTAACGAACAGGATGTGTAAATAATCACATGGTTGAAGAATAATAACAACGTTTTGATTAATCTGTGTTTAAATTACTGAGGTTGAAATGAATATTATGTTCTGATCAGTAAAGTTAGATTTAACAAGTGAACCCCTATCTGCTGACAGCTCACACGCTCACACACGTGACGATGACGAGGTTAAGCTAATATCCTGACACGTTGCTTTCGGTTCCACCAATCAGAACTCCCGTATCTGACGAGGGGCGTGTTTTCTGAGGTTTGCTGGTAAAACTCTTTCCACATGTCAAATTCTGATTTGTCAGTAAATCAAAAGATGATGATGATGAAAACAGAGCTCACTTCACCGCGAGTCAGTTCATGAGAGAGTTTCGGACCGGCCTTCCGAAGCAAAACCTCTTTAACCCGTCGCATCTTTGGACACGCTGTCAAAAACCTGTTGCACGCTGCAGCTGACTGCAAACGGTTCCTTCAGAATAAAGCTGAACCAGCTCCGACTCCCTAAGAGTCCTTCCAGAGACGCAAAACAAGTCCACCTGTTTGTCGTGACCTGGAGACGACTCTGGACTGACCTGGTCGTACTGAGGTTTCTCTACGGACTTCGGCACCGTGGGGTCCTTGGACTCCCCGACATCTCGGATCCAAAAGAGAGTCTCCGATAAGGGTACGCAGACTCGACAGACTGCGTCTGATGTGGTTTTATAAACCACCAACTTATAGTTCAATGCAGACCAATTCACTCCCGCTCAGATACCAGGGTTCTGATGACATCACCTCCACACACCATCACACCTCACCTCCATCCACTTCCATTCATTCATCACATAAAGTGTTCCTAGTTGTCATGTTTTTAATTGTTTAGAAAATAAAAGTCTTACTTTCTATAAACTTGACTCGTCTGAATTAACACGAAGTGTCTGACGATCCTGAATAAACAAAGAACTCTGAATCTTCTGGTTAAACGTGCAGACCAATCACACTGGACCTCCATATTTATATAGAACTCACATCTTATTGGTCAGATGTAGTTTAGCATATTTAGCTAAAAAAGCACCCAAAATAAAGACGTATGCTAACCCTACACAGGTGAGAAGCTGATCGGTTCTGTCCTTCAGGTCCAGCTGCAGTCAGGAATCTGACAGTCTCCTCGGAGAACACCACATCGCTCAGCTTCTCCTGGCTTCCCTCAGAAGGACACGTGGACATCTATGACCTATCGCTCTACAGCGTCTCAGAGACATCCACCAATCACAGAGCTGCAGGGAGCAGGACGGCGCACCAGCAGGTGGGAGAAACATTCAGGCCTGTTCAGGTGTTTCTGCTGAGGAGAACCTCATGCCACCATCATGATGTGATGTCTCCAGCCTGCAGGTGATCTGGTGGACCTGCAGAAGGTCAGTCCAGCTGCAGACAGCTGTGTGTTCTCCGGCCTGCGAGCAGGAAGTCTGTATCGGCTGGTGGTGGTGAGCTGGAGTCGAAACATGAGCAGCGACTCGTCTGTTCTGGCCAGAACCGGTCCGTAGTCTCACCTGGACCTGTCCCTGTTCTTCTCTCTGGTGTTTACTCACCTGTTCTCTTCCTGTTCCTGCGTAGTCCCGTCTCCGGTGTCCTCGCTGCAGGTCCAGAGTTCAGGACGCACGGACAGACTGACAGTCAGCTGGCAGCGCGGAGAGGGAAGCTGCAGCAGCTTCCAGGTAGGTGATGACATCATCCTGATAATGGGTCATCAGCAGCCTCAGGTGGAACTTTAATAAAAGCTTTTCTCACCGGTTGTTTTGGACCTTCGACCGTATTCAGAACCAGATTTGGGTTTATAGAGTGAACATTCTGAGAGCTCCTGGATCAACAAAACATTCAAGAGTCAAAAAAGAAACTCGACCACCGAATGATCCAATTATCAGATGAGCAGCTGTGGTGGCCTCATGGAGGGGGCCATCGGCTGCTAACGTGCACGTGCGTGCGTGCGTGTGTGTGTGTGTGTGCGCACACGCATGTGTGTGTGTGTGTGCGTGTGTGTGTGTGTGTGTGCGCACGCGCGTGTGTGTGTGCATGCGTACGCATGTGTGTGTGTGTGCGCGCGTGCGGGTGTGTGTGTGTGCGCGGGCACGCGCGTGCGTGCGTGCGTGTGTGTGTGCACATGTGTGTGTGTGTGTGCGCGCGCGTGCATGCGTGTGTGTGTGTGTGTGTGCGTGTGTGTGTGTGTGTGTGCGTGTGTGTGTGCGCGCGTGTGCCTGTGCGTGTGTGTGTGCGCGCGTGTGCCTGTGCGTGTGTGTGTGCGCACGCGCGCGCGTGTGTGTGTGCATGCGTACGCATGTGTGTGTGTGTGCGCGCGCGTGCGGGCGTGCGTGTGTGTGTGTGTGTGTGTGTGCGCGGGCGCGCGCGTGCGTGCGTGCGTGTGTGTGTGCACATGTGTGTGTGTGCGCGCGTGCATGCGTGTGTGTGTGTGTGTGTGTGTGCGTGTGTGTGTGTGTGTGTGCGCGTGCGCGCGTGTGCCTGTGCGTGTGTGTGTGTGTGTGTGCGTGCGTGCGCGCGTGTGCCTGTGTGTGTGTGTGTGTGTGTGTGTGCGTGCGTGCGCGCGTGTGCCTGCGTGCGTGCGTGCGTGCGTGCGTGTGTGTGTGTGTGTGTGTGTGTGTGTGTGTGTGTGCTCTGTCTTCTCCATCCCCAGTGAGTCGTGGAGGATGGCTGCTTATACTGAGCCAGGATTCTCTGGAGGTTTCTTCCTGTTAAAAGGGAGTTTTCCTCTCCACTGTCGCTGCATGCTTGCTTAGTATGAGGATTGCTGTAGTCAGTGACTCGATGCAACCTGCTGGGTTCCTTATATAGGAAACTTGTTACTGATTGGCTTAATGACCTGACCTGTGCTGGTTACTGTGTGCAGGTCCTTGAGACGACTCTGGTCGTGACTTGGACATTTATAAATAAACTGAATTGAGTGGAAGAGTAAAGAAAGAAAATAAATGACTTTAATCTTTTATAGTTTTATGAACTTTTGTCCTTTTGAACAAGTCCAGGTGAGTTTCACCGGTTTCAGGATGGACGGTTGTAAGTGAAGGAACATTCTAGAAACAGAGAACTGAGGAGCGTGTCTGCTTTTATTTAAGGTGGTATTGTACGATGTGTTTGGAGCCACTTTGGGAACTCAAATTCTGGGGGTGGAGCACCAAAGTCACACCTTCTCTGGCCTGGTCCCTGGTAGGCTGCACCGCGCTGAGGTCACCACCTACAGTGGAGATCTGACCAATAACGTCTCAGCGTACGGACGCACCTGTAAGTCTATCACGACATACAGATCGTCCCAACTTTGGTTGGAGCGTTAATACTCATGTTTTATTTTCAGCTCCAGAACCCCCCACCCACCTGTCCGTCAAACAAGGCCCAACCAATGACACGTTGGAGTTGTTGTGGTCAGGCCCCGCCTCTGGAGATTACAATAATTTTAGCCTGCAGTGGACGCCACTGGGTGACCTGTCCATCACACACACTCACCTGACCAGCTGCGTCATCAGAGGGCTGTTTCCTGGACGAAACTACAAATTCGCTGTGACGACTGTCAGCGGGGGTGGAGCCAATGGCGGTCCCACAGTCAGGAGCCTGCCAATCGAGAGGAGTGTCAGAACAAGTGGGTGGGGCTTATAAAGATCCTTTCTGTTGGACCTAATAAAAATGTGTCAGTTGGGATTAAAGACTGAATCGTGGAATTTTCTAATGCAAATGTTCCGACTTCGTTAAGGCATCTATTCGTTTATCTACGTCCTCCCAAATGTTGGAGGCTCTGCTGTTTGTTCAGAGCGCTGATTTAAACTCTGCGCCGCCGTCTGGCCCCAGTGCTGTAATACCACCAGTGTTAGCTCCGCCCACAATAATCAGGATGGTTTGTAACATTCCTCCCAAGCGGCAGTGATGAAGTTCTTGTTTGTGAGAGCAGAGCTAGCAAGAAACAAAATAAATAAATAAAGATAAAATTCAGTAGATTCTGCCATGATTCAACATTAACGGTCTCCTTCGCAAACGAGGTTTTAAACTCTGTGTGATTTTTTACCTGGATTAATGAAGGTTAAATAAAGTAAATAAGAGGTCTTTTAAATTAAACAGTTTTAATGCTGTTAAATAAAAGTCTGCCTTCGTTGGGACTTGAATCAGTTCTCACAGCCTATTTTATCCTTTTGACCACCAGGGGGCAGCATAACCTGATTGTTTTTGGGGTTTTGGCAGCATGCATGCAGGTAGTTTATAAAAATGATTGAAAGCAGGTGAAACCAGGTTTCATCTTCAGTCACCTGTGAGACTTGAGCTGTGTGTCCCCGTAGGACAGAACCGTCCCTCACATCTGTAGCTGACTGACACACGGTATCTACTGCTGCAGGTCCGTCTCCTCTGAAGTCCATCCACTGCTTCCCCCAGTCCTCTTCCTCCCTCTCCTGCTCCTGGGCGCCTCCCTTCGCCGACTTCGACTCCTATCAGGTGGAGTGTCGTCGCACCGACAGCGGGGAGCTGACCTCGGTGCTGAAGCTGGCCAGCGGCGTCACCGCGGTAACGCTGGACCACCTGGAGGCCTTCAGGAATTATTCAGTGACAATCAGAGTGTCATCGGCTGGACTGATGAGTCTGCCGGCTACTCAGACCACCGTCACGCTGATCGATCGTGAGCTCACACACACACACACACACACACACACACACACACACACACACACACACACACACACACACACCCTAAGCTGAACCCTGAACATGGGTCTGGTTCTTCATGAACGACTGTGGGTTTGTTAATCTGGACCTGGAGAGGACCAGCAGGGTCCGTTTGTCTGAACCAGCTCCACATTACGGAACAACTCCCATCTCATCATCTGGTCCACAGACTTCCCAGGTTCTGTTCTTCGTGGAGCTGGTCCTGGTTTTTAGACAACATTGAAAATATCAAAATATTAACAACTTCATAAATATTGAGAATTCATTAAAATTACAAACAGGAAAATGTAACGATTTAAAGATTTAAAAAAGATCAGAAATATTCCTTTTTACAAAATAAAACACAAAGTCAAACTAAACGTCATGTTTTATATTCATCACCGTGATGATGACATAATGCTGAACTTGCAGCCATTTCCCTCTGCTCTTCTCCGTGTCTGCTTCGATGACGTCACTTTGGTGATACACATTTGTAGTTCTGGGCTTATTTTCACACAAAACCTAGAATAAGGTTTCCCCCGTTGGAAAAATTCTTGTTATCAAAATCATATCCACGGCACATAATAAGCGGAACTGGCACATAGCGTTTTTAGCCCCGTTGACTTGTATTCATTTACTGGTTCTTCCAGGGACCCATGGTGCGGAAGTAGATAGGCGTGGCTTACGCTAGCCTGTACTTTATAGTTTGAGGTAGTTAGCTAACAGGTTAACCCTAACCCTAGGATTAGAGTTAACCCTAATCCTAATCCTAGGGTTAATCCTAACCCTTCCACATGATCAAACATCAAAATCACTAAAATATTTAGGTAACACTTTAGGGAACACAAATTAACCATTAGTTAGTTGCCAATTAATATGCATATTAGTGGACCACTAAGTCTGAACTAGTCATTATTAAGCTATTATTAGATGCTTATTACCAGGCGAACCCGGAAGACCACCGCAGAGATCTGGTCCAAAATTTCTGCGGGTCCTTGCCAGTGGCTCATCGGTTTGGGGGACAGGCCCTTCTTCCAGGTCGGGCAGTAGACCCAAACCTTGTCCCCCAAAGCCAATGAGGGTCCATGAGCTCTGGAGTCATACCCCCTCTTCTGGCGAGCTCCAGCCACTAGCAGGGTGGTCCGGGCCAGCTGGTTGACTTCTTCCATCTGCTCCTTTCGGCGTCGCACATAATCCAGTTTGCCCCCCACCCCCACCCCACCCCCCACACACACACACACACACACAATCTCTGGTTCTGGAGCCGGCCCAAACACCAGCTCCACTGGTGTCCGGAGTTCCCTCCCGAACATCAGCGCCGCAGGAGTACTCTGGCTGGACTCTTGCACTGCAGTACGGTACGCCCACAACACCATTGGCAAATGTAAATCCCAGTCTCTCTGATGTTTTCTGGTGAGGATCGCCAGCTGAGTCGCCAGAGTGCGGTTAAACCGTTCCACCAGCCCGTCACTCTGGGGATGCAACGGAGTGGTTCCAGTCTTTGTCACCCCCAACCGCCGGCACACCTCACCGAACAGCTGGCTCTCAAAGTTTCTCCCCTGATCGCAGTGCAGCTCCTCAGGTACTCCAAAACGAGAGAACATCTCGTCCACCAACCGCTGAGCTGTAGATGCAGCGCTTTGATCCGGCATCGCGTACGCTTCTGGCCACTTGGTGATGTAGTCCATGGCTACCAGAACGTAGCGATTCCCAGCCTCTCTGGTGGGAAAGGGCCCGAGGATGTCCACCCCAACCCGTTCCATCGATGCTCCAACCAGGTACTGTTGTAGCGGCCCCCGGGAGCGCTGAGTAGGCCCTTTTTGGCTGGTGCAGACGTTGCAGCAGTGAACGTGGTGTTCACGTCCTGACGACAGCCCGGCCAGTAGAACCTCCACCGGAGCCATCGCACCGTTTTGCTGTTGCCAAAGTGTCCCGTCCCCGCTGACCCATGAACCCAGTAGAGGACTTTTGCTTGAAGGTTTTGTGGCACCAGCTGCTGCAAGCGGTCCATCCCTCCTCCCGGTGCCTGCCAGCGCCGATACAGCACATCTCCATGCAGATCCAAGCTGCCGAACTGTGAGTGCAGGTTCTTTAATTCAGCCCCACACGAGGATACAGCGGGCCACTCTGGTCTCTGGGTGTCCCGAACCCAGGTCCTCACCTCCACCAGAGTTGGATCAGCCTCCTGTTGGTCTTTTAGTTCCTCCATGGAGAACAACTCCCTCTCTTGTTCCTCGGCAGCTTCCGCCGCCGCAGCCAATGGTTCCTGGTGCTGCTCCCTCACTGCTGCTGCTGCTGGAACAGGTTCTGGTTCTCGCTCTTCCTGGCGGAGACAGTAATGACACTCAGTCACTAAACATGGGTGCCGGGACAGAGCGTCAGCATTAGCATGCTGGCGACCGGGGCGGTGCTGGATCTCAAAGTCATACTCCTGCAGAATCTCCAGCCACCTAGCCACCTGTCCCTCCGGCTGTTTAAAGTTCAATAGCCAGGTGAGGCTAGCATGATCAGTCCGAAGCTTGAACTTGGTTCCCAGCAGGTATGGCCGGAAGTGTCTCACAGCCAAAACCACCGCTAGCAGTTCCCGCCTGGTGACGCAGTAGTTCCTCTCGCTCCAACGGAGACTGCGGCTGTAGTAAGACACAACTCTTTCTCCGTCTTCACCGGTTTGGGAGAGCATAGCTCCCACTCCCCCGTTGCTAGCATCTGTATCCACAACAAACGGTTGAGCGGGGTCCGGATACGCCAGAACCGGCACGTCAACCAACGCCGTCTGGAGCTGAAGGAAAGCTGCAGTGCACTCCTCACTCCATTTGAACCACCGGTCCTTCTTGACTCACTGATGCAGGGGGCTAGCCACAGTAGCAAATCCTTTCACAAAGCGGCGGTAGTAGGAGGCCAAACCCAGGGAGCTCCGCAGCTCCGAGACGCTTTTTGGCACAGGCCATTCCTTCACAGCAACAACCTTAGCAGGGTCTGTTGTTACTCCCTGCTCGCTGACGACATGGCTGAGGAAATGGGTCTAGCAAGTGAGCAACGTGCACTTAGCAGGATTTAATTGCAGCCCAGCCTGGCGAATGGCGACAAAAACCTCCCTCAGGTTGCAAACAGCGTGCTCAAAGTCTTTAGCATGCACGAGCGAATCATCCAGATAATCCACACAGCGGCTGCGAGGAATCTTCTGCAGTACTCGTTCCATCAGTCTTTCAAAAGTAGCCGGGGCGTTGCATAACCCAAACGGCATCACTCGAAACTGCCACAGTTCCTGTCCAATCGTGAACACCATTTTGGGTTTAGCTTCAGGCGCCAGCTCCACCTGCCAATATCCACTGCGTAGATCCAAGGAGCTGAGCCAGCACGATCCAGCTACATGATCTAATGCATCGTCAATGCGGGGCAGGGGGTATGAGTCGTTGCGCGTCAAAGCATTAAGCCTCCGGTAATCCACACAGGGTCACTATCCACCCCCTTCTTCTTCACCATGACAACAGGCGCAGCCCAGGGGCTCTCTGTTGGCTCAATGACCCCGTTAGCTGCCATGTCTCTGATTAATTCTTCTGCTGCTTGGCGTTTGGCTAATGGCAGGCGATGAGGGCGGAGCCGTACAGGAGCAGTGTCTCCTGTGTCGATGCAGCGCTGGACCAAGCTAGTCCGGGTGCAATCCTCTTCTCGAGCAGCAAAGATGTCTCCAAACTCTCGCAGTAATTGGCCCAACTGCTCTCGTTGCTTCGAGCTGAGGTGTTCCCCGCTGCGTTGTTCCAACGCCTCCATAGCAAGCATGGCCTCAGGTGACGGGGCCGCAGTAGCATGAACCGGCTTCTGTCCAACCTCCAGGCTTTCGCAGTCGTCTTCGAGCGACTGGGCGACTCTGGCTCCTCGTTGCTTCTCATGAGGGTCCCTCCCCCCCTGGAGAGGAATCGTCTCGGCATCTAGGCACAAAGCCGTTCCTTGAGCATCAACACATGCGCCCCAGCGCGTTAATAAATCCAGCCTGATGATGCAATCATCTTGAATGGCAGCAATCCAGAACTCCTGCTCAGCTCGATGAGTTCCGACCACCACTGATAACAGTCCCTTTCCCATCATTGTGGTTTTTTTTCACCAGTCACGGTCAGCAATGCGGTTTCAGTGGGACTCCAGCCTACCAGGAGGGAACCCTCAGTCTCTGGCAGGAATCCCTTCCGGACCAGACAGATGGTGGACCCCGTATCCACCAAGGCTCAGCATTGTTGTCCTCCAACAACACAGTCCAAATATAGCCCATGAAGCGGCCCACAGCGGCCGACGGATGGCAGGTTAACTCCAAGGGTGCGCGAGGTGGGAGTCCCCTTACTGTCCCACCCCGCTGGCGTTTCCCGCAGCTTGCGGCCTCCGCGGCCCAGACCTGGGCCAAGGACTTGGGGCTGGGCAGTCTCTGGCTAGATGTCCCGGTTCGCCACAGTGGTAGCAGAGGCCGGTGGCTGGTCTCTGTCTCGGGGTCTGCTCCGGCCGGGCCTGGTTGACTTCTCTCCTCTCCTCCAGCACCTCCTCTTGTTCAGTCGCTCTCGCCAGCGGCGATCTCCCACACTATCCAACAGGCATCACCTCCTCCGCTTGTTCAGCTCTCCTAAGCGCTTCAGCCAAGGTGATGGGGAAGGACAATCTGACGTGTTGACATAATGGTTCCGGTGTTAGCCCTCTTAGGAATGCATGCAGGCTTAACTCCTCTCTGGCGGCAGCCGGGAAATCAGGATAGCCCCACCGAGCATACAGTTGTAGATCAGCCACATAAGCTCCCAAGCTTTCTCCGTGGCCGCATCGTCTGCCACTCAGTTGTTCTCGGCTTTGCTCTCCTGCGGCTTGCGTCCCAAAGCGTCTGTTCAGTGCAGCCGTGATAGCTTTCCAATCGCATGGCCCTTCCAATGCTAGGTCCACCAGGACCTGAAGTGCTCCTCCTTTCTAGGCCAGCGCCACCCGAACCACTGAGTCCTGTTGGCTCCATCCTTCATGTAAAGCCGCCAGCTCTACTTGAGCGAGGAAGGGTGCAAGGGGTGTGGTGCCGCTGAATCTCGGGAGTTTTACCGGCATTTGATTGCCGCCGTCTCTCAGCGCCGTTGGTGCCGGGATTGTGGGCACTTCCGCTGAGTGCATCTCTCGCGGGTGCCGGGCTAACCGCGGATCGCTGGTTCCATCCGGCTGGCGCAGTGTTCTCGCTCTGGTGCCCAGCCGTAGTTTTTCTTCCAGCTTGCTGTTCTCTCTGTCAAGTCGCTCGATGTCCTCGACGAGTTGCTGCATCTTTTCTGTCTTTCTTGACAGCGCTAATCCCACTTCTGACTCCAATGTAGCGGTCTGCGCCGCCCTCTAGTGGGGTGTGTATGAAGCAGCAAAGAAGAGTTGACAGGTAGCAGACATAGAACACTTTCAAAAAGCCGGATGGCTTCCGTTTTCATCCCTCCACACGTACATTTAACTCACGGTGCCAACAGGCACTGGATAAGAACAACACAGCATGAACTTGAACTGAAACAAACAACACTAACATAACCCCGAACAAAATAGTCCTCAGAACACCACAAACTGAATAAGCAACCCCAATTTACCCTCCCCCCAGAGTGCAATGCAGCCTTGCCGGCCCATTTTGGCAGGGCCGCCACAAAACATTCCTACCTGCAGGGGGTGGGGATGGAGAGGAGTTCCTGAGCTCGGTCCGAAAGGGAACGAGATAAAATCGCTATAAGAATGTATTCTGCTACTGTTTCAGTGTTTCTGAACCTCTTGGTTTTCTCTTAGGTCCACCCATCCCACCTCCCAGCATTCGTGTTGGCGATAAATCTTCCAAAGTCACGTCGTCCTCCATCTTGTTTCGCTTCAACTGTTCCTGGTTCAGTGACACCAATGGAGCCATCAAGTACTTCGCTGTGATTGTCGCCGAGTCTGACAGTAAGACATCATTCAGATTTGAATGAACTCATGTTTCTCTCTGATGAAACACTACAAGGACAGTTTTAGTTATAAGTTTTGTTCTCCTCAACAGCCAATGAGTTTCTGCAGCCGGAGCAGCGCCACCCACTACCCTCCTACCGCGACTACATCACCAACTCCTCCATCAGGGCGTACCAGACAGACTACTTCTCTAGCCGCTGCCCACAGGATGCCGACACCTCCTTTGGACAGGTACAAATTCTTCTTTTTTTATTTTTACATTTTTTGTTTTTGTGAAACGCCTCGTGATTTTCATCTTGAGAGATGCTATAGAAAATAAATTTTCTTCTTCTTCTGTTGGCTCAGCTGCAGGAAGCTTTCAGCTGATTGGTCGGTCAATGGCCAATGTCGGCATTAAAATGTAGTATCCGAACATATCGGTGTCAGTTTTCAGTCTTCTCTCTCTCACAATGTAAAACTGTGGCAGGTCTGAGATCAAGTGTTTCAGAAATTTTAGTTTATTTGGCACAACTTATGAAGTAAGTAAGGGGCTGCATGGTGGCGCAGTGGTTAGCACTGTTGCCTCGCAGCACAAAGGTCGCAGGTTCGAAACTCGGCTGCGGCCTTTCTGCGTGGAGTTGCGTGTTCTCCCCATGCATGCGTGGGTTTCCTCCGGTACTCCGGTTTCCCCCACAGATCACAACATGCCCTATAGGTTAAAAAAAAAATTGTAAGTCGCTTTGGGTAAAAGCGTCTGCTAAGCACATAAACATAAACATAAACATAAGTAGAAATTAGTAAGTAAATAGATATTATTTATATAGCACTTATCACATAGAATCACAAAGTGCTGTTTTCAATTGTATTCAATTCAAAAAAACTTTAATCATCCCCGAGGGGCAATTGTTTCAGTACAGAAGAATTGGTACTGTGGTCATTCGCAACAAGAGTCGCGCTACCGTTAATTAGATGAAAAGGGGATTACGTGAGGATAAATTGCGGGAGGGAAAAAAGGCATACCAGTTACTCCCGGCAGGGCGTAGCTTTACTATGCAAAAAAAAACGCCTCAATTATATAAGCACGAACATCAACAATTCACAACATGAGACACTGAGAGGAGGAGGGGGGGGGGGGGGGGGGGAGGGATCCTTTTTCCCCAGCGAGAGCAGCCCTATGGCGCTGAGCCACTGTAGCCACAGGTGGGAGGGAGATCTTGGGAGGAGCGCAGAGCATGTTGACACCTGCAGGTTGATGACCTCGCCAGGCTGAAGTTCACCAATCCAAAGGCGGGGGGGGGTAGGTTGGGTTTTCACAGCATCTGTCTACATTCCTTCGTGGGGGTTTGTTTTTGGCATTCACAAGGCTGCCATGGCGTCAGATTCGGATAACAAGACTTTGTTTGGGTCAGGCAGAGATAATTTTCCTCTCTGCCTTGAAGTCTGCAACTGATCATTCAAGTCCTCCAGTGAAGCCAATTCAGGTTTTAAACATCTCCACCCGTCCCGTGACCCTCTCCGAGATGACATCCATTTTGCGCACTAATACCGGTATCGCAGCTAGAACATTGACCAGCTTACGATTCACCTCGAGTAACGTCACAGTCTGTAAGGTCTCCACACGGACGGTGCTTTCCAAGGGTGCGGGTCGCCCTCCAATCGCTCCCGTCTTCCCAAATCTCTAGAAAACCAGATATCCTCCCACTCCAATCAGAAGAAATCCAGTGATCATCAGGCCAAATATCCACACATCTTCGACATTCTCAATGGACAACTGAGAGAGGCATACGATCTTCCACTCCCTCCAGGAATCGAGCATATATCCCGCTGCGTGTGTCCCTTGCGGGAATGTGGGAGCCCCCTCCTCCGTTCTCATCGTTGAAAAAATCTTGTCAATCGTGTTGAATGACCAATTAATTAAATCCATTCTAAAAAATAGGGTTTTTCAGAAGAAATGCAGAGAAGTGCTCTGTGGGCAGACAGGACAAAGAGCCTTGGGAAAAAAAGATAAGGGAGCAAAAGCAGAAGCGTCTGTACTCTGCAAGTGCCGGAAGAAGCTCCAGTTAGGAGCCTCGCTGCAGAGTTCTGGACCAACTGAAGGTGGTCAAGGGCTTTACTGTTAGAACATGTGAAGAGTGTGTTACAGTAATCTAGACAGGAGGGGATAAAGGCATGGAGAACCATTTCAGGTTCATGTTTTTGACACCAAACTTCGCAGTTTGGAGATATTTCTTAAGTGATAAAAATTGTTTCGGACCAACGTTTATGAGTAAATTTCAAGAGACAGATTGGTCAAAAACACTCAAATTCCTCAAGTTTGTCTTGACAACAGAAGATAAATGACCAAGTTTTAGACTAATCAGGGGAACCATGCTCTCAGAGGCAATAATCAGACATTCAGTCTTTTCAGAGTTTAACTGAAGGAAGTTATCTTCTAGCCAGCTGGTGATCGCTGATAGACACTCTAGTAAATCAGACAGTTTATAGAACTCAGAATCCTTAAAGGAGCAGTACAGCTGAATGCCATCTGCATATAGGTGATACAAGACATTATGAAAAGAATCAAGTATCTGTCCAAAAGGGTGTATGTACAGCAGAAACAACAGTGGACCCAAAACAGAGCCTTGGGGTACCCCACAGAACAGATGGGTAGAATTTGACAAGATCTGGTTTATACAGACACTAACTTCTGTTAGAAAGGTATGATCTAAACCAGTCTAGAACAGTTCCAGAGATCCCCACCGAGTCATCAAGTCTGTTATTAAGGAGCGGTGATCAACAGAGTCAGAAGCTGCAGAAAGATCTAACAGTACTAGCACTGTGAATTTGACGTTGTCTGCAGCTATCACGGTGTCAAACTTTAAGCAAAGCTGTTTCTGTTGAACGCTTTTTAGGGGCAGCAGTAGCTCAGGAGGTAGAGCGGGTTGCCTCGTGATTGGTCATGGGATCGATTCCAGTTCCCGCCAGAGGTATTCTGCTGTTGTGTCCTTGGGCAAGACACTTCACCCTACTTGCCTGTGTTGGTGGTGGTCAGAGGGGCCGACGGCGCCACATGGCACCCTCGCCTCTGTCAGACCGCCCCAGGGCAGCTGTCACTACAAAGTAGCTTACCATCACTAGCAGTGTGTGAATGTGAAAGTGCATGAAAGCGTCTTTGAGTGTCCTAAAAAGTGCTATATAAGTTAGTATTATTATTATTATTATTACTATTATTATTACCAAAACCAGACTAGAAATTGACAAAATTGTTGTGTAGTTCCAGAAAAGTAATCAGCTGATCCGCCGCAACCTTTCCTAATTTTTAGAGCTAAAGGGTCGTTTAGAGATGGATCTGTAGTTTTTAGGCTGAGTTGAGTCCACACTTGTTTTTTTAAGGATGGTTCAATAACTGCGTGTTTGAAAACAGATGGTACCGAGCCAGATTGTTGAGATAAATAATAAAATCTACAATGCATGGGCCAATTTGGCCAAATATCATGATTAACAAGATAGTAGGAATTAAATCAGAAGGGCATGAGAGGTTGGTTTCATGTGTTTCTGAATGAGGCACAGAGCTACATGTAGCTAGCCCGCTAACAACACGTAGCTACGTGTAACCAGCCTGCTAACAACACATATGTAACCCGGTGTAAAACCCAGATTACGATAGTAACATCATTACACAATTAGAATGAATAATGAAATATAAATGGAAATTTACAAAACAGTTAAAACAGGATAAAAGACCAAATAAGATAAATAGAAATCTAAACATTCATACATTCATAGTTTAAAAAAAAGAAAGAAAAGAAAATACAAACTTGTTGAAAATAGTCAAATAAGAACAGCTAAAATCGAGTAAATAGAAAGTTCCAGTAAAATTCAGGTAGCAACTGACTAACCAATCACGTGGCTAGCCAGCTATTGCATCAGCCAATAGAATTTAGCACTTTCTGCTGCTCGCTACGCAGCTTTCACTTGCCTTCAGACGCGCTGAGACGCTGACGAGGAAGCACTTGCCGTGAAGAGCAAACTAGGATGCACTAGCAGCCGTTACTTGAAAAACAATTACTCCAAGTTCGAGATACAGAGGTCCGAAGACCGTGATTTGCCGTTACCCTTGGGAAACCCCGTGTAAACCAAGCTGACTTTTCTTGGTCAGGTTTTTTATTTTGGATTGATTCACCTCGGTGAATTGAAGATTCTTGTTCCAGTTCTGGATGGCGAGCCCCAGCCCAACCGAACCATCAAGCCGGTGATTAACTGGTCTGTCACTCACCTGAACTCGACTTCAACCCAAGATCTGACTGACAAGGATTTCATGAACATTTGTCAAGCTGACTGACTGACTGAACAAACACAGACTGGTGACATTTCATTTTACTATTTTATTTTATTTCATTTTATTTTATTTCACAAAGCGCTTTGTTATATATTAAGTGGGTTATAAATGCTGGTAATAAACCATTGTTATATTTACCTTGCTTTTCCATGTTGTCACTCCACCACTTGCTCCTCAGAGTCTAGAATCTTTTGATCTGGTCCACTCGGTGTTAAACCACAAAGATTTTCATGTGAACCACCTCTAGTAAAATCTACGTGAGGTTACATGAGCTGGCAGAGCCAGCCAGGAGCATAAGGTTGTGAGACAACATTAAACATCTTTGAATAATTTTCACCCATAGTCAGTATGGAGTTTGTTGAGGAGAATGGTGTTAAAGTACCAAATGCTGTAGTTGTTAGTGGTGTTACCGGTACGGAAAGAGACAAAGAAGTTTACGAATTTCTGGAACAACATGGCTCTATTTACAGAACACTCACCATTAATGATAGCTCATCTGAACTTTACGGAAGTCAAGTCGTGGAATTTGAGTCTGGTGTAGCAGTTAAATCGTTAGCACCGGAATTGCCGTACCTCTTGTCCACGGATGATCCACGAGTCAGGTATCACATACAAGCTCTAAACGACGTGTACACTAGAACCATAGGAGGCAGTTTTACTGAAACTTACCTCAATGATCTGAAAGGCTTAGCTAAGCTGAGTGGAAAAGACTTTGAAGAAGTCTTGAAAGAAGTTATGTCCACCATAGGAAAATCTATTGAGTCCACATTGACAACAGAAACTGATCTTGAAAATAGGACCTTAGATCAAATTAATGTAATGGCTGAACCCAACATAGTAGCTGAACCCAGTCAGAGTGGAGTTTCACCTTTACACCAAACTAGAGTGTTTAGTTCACCTAAACCTATGAAGACAATCTTACAAAGCCCTCCTA